CAAGAGGAAGAGAGAGACACAGACAGCAGACTCCGCCGCCGCCGAACTCCCGACCACCGAGAGCCATCAAGCGTGCTGCTTTCCCCCGGCATCCTCAGATCTGATGGAGGCAAAGATGGCTGATCACATCAGCTCTATCTTGCAGCCGTCCATGCTCGGGATGGGATGATGCCGGCTGCGGGCTTGTGGCCTGGTACTGATTCAGCCAGTTGAGCTCACGCAAACACGTGTCGAAGTGTGCAACTTCCGACAGCTGCCTTCGTCTTTGTTTTTCTTGGGGTCCACGCCTCGTATAGGTTGGCTTGCTCGAAGCATGTGATTTCCCAGCCACCAGTCACAAGTGCAGCGTAGATGAAGTTAGGTTTCGCAGCTTTGACGTGGTATGCTTTAGAGTTGGGCAGAAGCCGCTTTTCTTTACACCTGGCTGTCGGGCACTGTGAACGCGATGCTTGCGTGCCGCGTTACCTGCGAGTGGTTTGTGTAGCACCGCAAGGGATCTCTACTCAACCATGCGGCCTGTTGATGTGTTCCGCACAAGGTACAACAGCCGGGATCAAGCAGTTTCCCTGTGTTCTTGGGCCTTTTTAGACTTTCCGCGTGTGTGTTTAGTTGAGTGTAACTCATCAGCTCTGATGAGGCCGCCAACACCTCCCAAACGGGAGGTGTCGTGACTGCGTAGTGTTTCGGAAGGTTTCCGAACGTTTCGGCACTAGCCCGGGCCCATATCGGAGCTTGAAGTGTTGGAGCTTGCGTTCATGTGCTTCCATGAGAGCGAGAGGTTTGGTTTGAGGTTTCGTATTGGACCACGTTTCACCTGGCGCGCGGTAAAGTTTTAGCAGGAGGCACCACCTCCGCCCGAAATCTGGGCCCAGAGGGTTGCCGATCGCAGTCACCGCATGGAAGCAAATATCGCGGGTCGTTAAAGGTCGAATTGGGCAGGCTTTCGCAATTCTAAATGTCTTGAGGAGTATTTGAAGCTCCACTATTGTAATATAGGCTCATCAGCTTGATCCTCCAGAAGGGTTCGTTCTGACGATGCATCTGGAAGACCGTTGCTTTCGCATATCAAAATCATGTGAAGTGGTGATCCCAATACAGTCCAAGATCTTGAGGAGACAGCAGAATCCCGCCACCCTACACCCTCACAGCGGTCCATCGATTATACCTGAGCCCTTTTGCGTAGAACCCAACCCTTCTTTACATTGGCGCGCAATGAGGCGCCCCGAACATGTAGCGCTCTTAGTAAGCACGTTGAGATATGTTGAGATTGTCCCCGCGTGTCAGACAGTATGGTGCAACAGGATGTTGGAACCTGCGTCACCTTGTGTAGTTAGCCAGTCTGCAGGGAGTGAGCTGAAGCTGCAGTATACCGCGTTGTATATTTCTGCGTGTGCTATGGTGGATGTAAGTGCTTCACTCCGTCCCAACGCCTCGGCCAACATGCCTTTCAACCCAAGAGACCTTACAGTTACCTGGTGGCGACAAGCAATCCTTGGATGGACGCTAGAGAGGCATGATAAGCATGGCACCAAGCGAGTGACCTTCGCCTTCCCGTGAAACCCCGAGAGCTCTTCTGCTGGTAATGCCCATGGAGACTTCACGGTGTGATGGAGATCTTAAGCTCGCCACTGCATGCGCCTTCTGATTTCCGGCTCATTCCGACAAGAACTTCGTGTGCTCTTGTGTCTTTCACTTGTGGGGCATAGAGCATGCGTGTAAGGATAGGAGTTTCGGTGTTTCGCTGTGATTTCTAATTTCCCGCGTCCGCGCCTTCGTGGCCTTGCCGCATCCTCGCAAGCAAGCCGGCTTTGAGGTCCGCCAGCTTCTTGGGCTCTGCAGACTTTCAGGGTGTTCTTGTGGCCTGGGACCCTGGCATGCCAGAAGTCCATGGTTTGGGGCTTGGCTCTTTGAGATTCGGGACTACTCGGTAATCAAAGCCCTCCGCCTGCAAGTCACCACAGAGCTGGTGGCATGCGTAGAAGGGGAGTTCAAGCACTCGGGGGCAGGGATCCTCAGGGGTGTCCAGAGCATGCGGAACCAACGCAATGCAGCTGCCCGCATTGGAGTGCAAAACCACAGCTCGCGTTCAGCTCGGTTGCTTAGCTGCTGTCATGGAAAGGATGTCAGCACGGGACTTGAAAACACCTCACCTTCAATCCCAAAGCTTAGCTCAGGGCAGCCCTAAACCTTGAGCTGCCAGGTCCAGGTCCGACATGCACGTCATCGGAAGCCTTGCGGGCTTTTGGGTCCGAAGGACAATGAACACGTCGTCGGATGTACAGGCGGTGCAGGGACTGCGTCTTAGGTACGTCATGCTATGGCTAGTCGTGGCTGTCGGAGTCGTCTGGCAGTGGCAGCAAATGGCAACTGAACGCTTATGACATTAAGCACGAATGAAACTCATGGGCCCAAAGCATCATCTCGAACCCCCGCGCAAAGCCTGATAATTGTGTGGAAGCCTTCGTGCCAAGTTGGCTATTGGGGAGCAGGAAGAGGATTTCAGGCCGAGAGAGCCCACTCAATGGGATTGCAGAAGTGTAGGGCTGAATCAGGTCGTTGTTTTGTCGTGGGCACCCATCAGAGTCACGACTTTCACGGTAGGGACACTAGACTAAGACCCTTGATTTGCAAAAACAGCCCCATGCCCCCCCCCCCCGAGCCGAGCCAAGTCTGATTCTCCAAAACCTGAAGGCTCCCCAAGCTCCTGAGAATTCTCAAGCTCGACATGAGGCCTTTGAAAGGGGGCACTTTTTTCCTGTAACCCATGGGAGGCAAAACACCCTGTAGAAGAGGCGCAGCTGACAGCCTTTCGAAGCAAGGCTCGAGCCTGGTTGTTTCGAGGGTTCAAAGTCAAGTTTGCACGGGCTAGGGTTTGGTGCTTTGGGGCTTTAAGGTTGAGGTAGGGGTTTCGGACTAAGTTGAGTCTAGGGCTTTGATTTTAGTTGTTTCTTGGGATGGTGGTTTGCACCAAACAGGGACACCTGGGTTGACCAAGCCTTCGAGGACAATGCAGCTGAGGCTTTACGGTGCAGCAAGGTGCATCAGCGTTCTTTCTCGTGCTGCATGGTAAGAACAGGGCAGCACGTAGTTGCAATCAGGGCCATGTTTCTTCATCTTCATGCCGGACCCGAACCTAGGCAAGACACTGTACCAAACCCCAAAAAACACACACACTCTCTCTCTCACTCTCACTCTCACTCTCTCTCTCTCCCCCCTCCTGACTGTAGAGTCAAGAAGCCCGTCACCTTGCCCTGGAGAAGCAAGTCATGTGGCTGCGGTACATACAGCGTGGGTACCGGCTGGCATTCTCTTCCTTATCCTGGGCAGTACATGCCGCCATTTTTGATCCAACATAACGGCCCTGGCTTTGACCGCCGTCCACATCCCGGCTTCTTTGATGTTTGTCTGACTTGTCTCTAAGGGTTATGCACATGCTCATGACCCAAAACCCAGCTATCTGTCATGTTTCTTTCGTTCTTTATCCCTATCTCTTTCCCTTGCCTATCTATCTATCTATTCTGTTCTCTATCTATCTATTCCGTTCTGTTCTGTACTGTGCCGTGCCGTACCGTTACCGTACTGTACTGTACTGTACTGTACTGTACTGTACGGTTCTGTTCTGCTCGGCTCGGCTCGGCAATGCCCTGCAATGCTACGGCTGTGCGATGGCGATGATAGGTTCCTTTCCTCTCCTGCTAGGTTCTGATCTGTCCTCCGGCGTATGCTCTGTTCTGTTATCTGTGCATGAACAGATATGTAGAAGTATAAATGAGTTTGCGGAGCCCCAAAACCCAAAACCCTAAACCCTAAACCGTAAAACCTAAAAACCCTAAACCCTACCGTAAACCCTAAACCCTAAACCCTCAAACCCTAAACCCTAAACCGTTTCCTGCTTTGAGGCGCTTCTTCCTCGTCAGCAGCGTGCAGACGGAGCTCGCCCACGGGGGCGTACCCCCCAGGGCGCGCTGCGGGCAAGGCTTCCCAAAAGGGTTCTTTAGGGTTTAGGGTTTAGGGGTTTAGGGTTTAGGGGTTTAGGGGTTTAGGGGTTTATCATAGACGGCTGGGCCACCCCTGGCTGGTGGCCCCCCCCTGGGGCCACCAACTTAAATAGGTATTTGAAGGTAGGGGCTCGGTTGCTTAATAGAGGGTAAGGGGTCGGTTGCTTTATCCCATCCCATCCCACCAGCAATGACATGACAAGTAAACGTAGACCAAAAAGAACGTTCAGCATGGCATGGTACAAGAGGAGAAGACGTTTGTGACAACCAACATCCCACGCGAAGCCGTTCTTCGGCTGGCGTCTGCCTCGCGCACCGACGGTGCTAAGCGCTCCCTTCAGGAGCATGCGATGTGTGCGGGTGTGTTCCTGTACAGGAGCACATGCGAAAACGTGAAATTGACTTCGTGGATACCAGCTCAGGAAACTATGATGCGGTGTATAGCCATGCCTACACATTCACACGTCTAGTCGGTCTAATTACTTAGCACTGGTTTCCAAACTTCACAACACTAGCGTCACTGGGGCTGGGACCCGACCGACGGTGAGACGACTGGACACATGAAAGATCGCAGGCAAAATGCCTGTGGCAAGTGCGCTCAAGCAGGAGCCACTGGCGCTGGCGCGTCCCCAGCAGCTTTAGGTCTAGCGGCGGCCCTCAGGCGGTTTTCCATCTCGCTCAGCTTTTGCTCAAGCACCTCTCTGGAAGGCCTGGGAGAGTGTCCAGTTTTCCGACTCCTCCCATATTCCCAAAACCTTTCGCTCTGCACCTCCAACCCCTGAACGTCTACCCCAACATGCTCGAATTAAACCCTACATTCGCCCTGCACCTCCTAGCCAAGCTTCCTTGCACCTCCCGAACCGGGTGCGTCACTCTACCCTAGCCCCAAGCCTAATACAACAGGATCTGCAGTGGCATCCCA